GAAGTCAAGAGACAATGGAGGTAATGAAAGTTTGGGCCGTGCAGAGCTGTTGTGTTGAAGTTGTCTTGGATTCTAGTTACATTCTAGTCCTACATTGATTGGGGTGGAAAAATGTCTTTCTTTGAAACTTCGTGTTATTTTTTTTGTCCTAATTTCATTTTTCTATGGAGTTGTCTGGGACATGACAGTGGAATTGATCAATCAAATACAATTTTTTTTTGGCTTTGGATTTTTTCACCTATGCCTTGAGCATTTCCTTCATGATTCTTTTTTATTCAGCATGTCATATTATGCTAAGTTGCTATGTGGTTTATAATGCTATTAAATAGAAAGACTGGGATTTTTTCTATTAAGAGACTTTAAACCTGGGTTCAAAATATTATTCTATTTTTTCAGCTAAAGTTGAGAAAATGCAACTAATTCCAAACCTTTTCAACATGTGTGTTTTCTTTGTGTGTTAACTGCTCATAAATAACTTCCATGCCTATTTAAAAACAGAGCTTTAGATTTAATATCCAATTTGAACTTTGTAAAACTGTAAAAAAATATATATATATAGGCACTTGAAATTCTAATGAGCACTTGCCTTTGTAGTGGATAGGCTCCTTTTGAGATTAGGTTATCAGTCTCTCCCACAATACTTACTGCAGAACTGCAACTTTTAAGGGGAAAACTTCATTTCCTTCAAAAGGTGAGAGGCTGACCCATTCATGCAGTGTAGGGTGGGGTGATTTTTTTGTTTTCCTTTTGCATCTGGAAAAAAATGTAGTCTCATAACGTATTGCCTTTGAGGACCCCATCCCATAAATTACTACTTTAGCATCTTCTTTACAGCTTACAGGGGAAAAAAAAGTATTTTCTTGATCCTAGTTGCCTCTCCAAATCATCTTTTCTTTTAATGAGACTGACTTATTATAGAAATATACAAATTCATAAACTAAATGACAAATTGCTACTATCTTGTATATATCTTTTAAATGAATTATTTCCATCTGGAATATAATTGCAAAATGGAGAAATTTAGTATTTTAGGAGGTTTATTCTATTCACTAGTGAGAAAAATACACTACAAAGAAATGCTGTTTTTTCTTTAAAAAATTAATAAAATAAACAGTATCTACAGTAAAATGAAGAATGCAAGGACCTTTTTAGATTGTGCTTGTATGGCAGTTGAGAGATCAGGTTTTATACCTGTTACTTCAGAGGTTGGAGAAAATCCTTATGTACAGATGAAGACTTTGTTCCTATAAATGAACCTCATGGACTATCATACATGGTTTGCACAAAGACCAGCTAATAAGTCTTCAAATCACTCTCCACCAGATTCCCTTTTATTACTTGCAAATAAAGTTCCAAAATGATCAAATAAACTCTCAGTACAGGGTGCATTTATATCTGCTTCTTCATGGGTAAAATGGGCATAAAAATATCTACCTGTCAGAGATAATTGTGAAGCTTCATTCATAAATGGCTCTTGGATTAGGGGTGTTATTAAAATACAAAGTCATATTATGTATTTCTTTTTTTCACCATGTAAGAAGGATTGAATTAGATTTATCATTAGGGCAGGCACTTTCTGAGCTGAGCAAAAACATACTACTTAAATCTCCATTGTAAAAAGTCTGTCGTAAGTGCAGTAAAAGCTGTGTTAACCGGCACTTTATTAGCTGGAAAACTCTATTAACCGGCGTCCGTGCAATGCAGCAAAAGCAAAACCAGAAGTACCACTTCTGGGGGACTTCCCATTTTGCTGCTGCGAGCTGAGTTTTTCTTCGCCACTTTTTTGAACCCCATTCCTGGGTGATGCCGGATAACAGAGCTTTTAATGTACTAGAAATGTCATGTTCTGAAGTGCATTGTTCCAGTCTGTGTTTCTTGTTCAAGTTCTTTAGCGATGTCAGTTCCTAGAGTCGTAATGGCAGAGTCACTGACAGGAGTGAGATAAGCAAGGAATCCTTTTAGTTTTCTGTATCCCTTTGATTTTTTTATTATGATCATTGTCTTTGTATACTCTCTGGACTCGAGATATATCAAGCACCATGTGATTTCCCTGTCAGAGAGATTTTGAAGCAAAGAGAAGACAACTGATGAGATGTAGTACCTTACTTGTTCAATGTTTCCAGGGATTTTTTAGCTGTAATCATCTTTAGAAAAATCTGCTGTATAGAATTAAGTATATTTGAGAGAATTTTGGGGAAGCTCATCAGAATTCACTCATTGTTTTCTGTAATGTTTTTCTCCCTATGACACAAGAAGCAGTCTTTTAGCCGTTGCTAATTTCCATGAGTCATTTGTCAGGAGAAGATTCTCTATCTTGTCATTTACCTGAGGTGCATGAAATGAGCTGATCATCCCAAGGCCAGGCAAGATTGCAAGCAGAATTAGGCACTGTATCCATGGTAATACTGTGAGAAGTTTTTTAAATAACTGCTTAATCCATTGATAAAAAATCGACCTGCCATTAGAATCAGAGCAGCCAATTTTATCATCAGGCAGATCATAATTTAAAATTGACATGAAATATTATGCACACATGTAGGTGTTATAAGAGTCAAGCATTTTATTTGTGTGTAACTTCTCATGATGAACCGTTGTTAGTTCCAGTGTTGTATAAGCTATTTCTCTGCCCCGTGATTATTCAAGTATGAACAGCTAAACCGTTCATTACCTGTTCTTTTTCTTTTTTCCCCTCTTAATTTTTGCATAATGAAGCAACTGTAGAAACTCTGGAAGCACTGTGAAATGTTGTTGTTAAAGAAGTAAGAGAGGTTATTTTAACTAGCAAATAGAAATCGCCTCCTGGCTGAACGGTGATAGGATATTATTTCAACCATGGGTTTATTTTATAGGCAGTAGTTTGATATTTGGTTTACCATTTTGAAGACTGGGCAAAAGCTGATTCAATTATTCAGTTATTTTAGTTTGTTTATTTCAACTTCAGATGTCTGCAGTGAGATTGTCCACCCAAAGTTCTGAGACAATCTTTCAAAAACACTAATAAAATTCTTTGTTTCTTCAAGATCAAATTGAAAAAACAGCATTATTATAGTAAAACTCAATATAAATCCCTCCAAATAATTGCCAGCAGAGTTGCATGCGTGCTGCTACTCAATTCAGCCTGTTTCCTTAAGCGGAATGGGAAAAATGACAGATCATGAACTAGATCTTGGAGGCTAACAAATTTGAAGTATTACAACAATTGTTTGGAACTGGTAGACATGGCATAGTTAATTCCTAGCACTTGTTTTATTATAAGCCTCTTCTTAGTTGCCTGTAAGTTTTCCAAACATATAATTTTGGGATGAAATGTTCCATGCTTGTTCTCTGCTTCAGGCTGAATTCCTTCAGAAAAGAGTCAGCAAAATGGCTCAGCTGTTTCTGAGAGCACAATTAAGTGGGGAAACTTCAATTTGAATATAAAAAAAAATAAATTGGATTTTTGAGGATACATATTGGATCCAAATATTTGAAGTGGCCTATAGATTTATTCTGTAATTTGAAGGTGCTTGTAGAAATTAATTGAGATTTAACTCATTTAGAACATGTGGAATTAGTCATTTTCATATGCTGTAAATTCTTTAAAGTCTTGCTTGAATGTTTAATCCACAAGAAACTTGCTCCGTGGGTCTGCAGAGCTTTAGTCCTAGATAAGACATAGCAACTGCAGCTGCCCTCTTTGGCTTACGGAATGGGCTAGGAGAAGGCAATGAAATCTAATGCCAACTCCTGTACTGCCTTGTGTGAATATTTATATACATTTTAAAGAAATTGCTATCGAGTAAGGCTTCATCTTAGGAGGTGTGGAGGTATCACTTCATCCTGCTTTGTAGCAACCTCTAGCTACAAAGTAACTGAATGTTTTCACAAGGAACTAAACTCAAGTCTCTAATGTGACAGATCTGTGGCTGTATTGTTCATCTGTGGTTGTACTGCCTTTGAGAGTAAATAGACAAAGCTTCAGACTTCCCATAACTGCTAGATGCCACTCACTTCCAGAACCAGGAATAGAATCCAGGAATCCAGTTTAGTAAATAGCTGTGTATGTTGTTAACTGGTGTGCACCACATCCATCTCTACTAGCTGGTGCATAAAGTGGATGATGACTTAATTTCATTGCCTTTACTTCTTTAGCTCAAGTGGTGCTAAAGAACCCACCACTTATTTACCTCAAGTAGTGGGTTGAGGACTGGGAGACTTCAGGTTCCTTTGTTTGTATTGCTTGTAAGCAATATAATATCAGAAGGTTTGTTTTTTTTAGGTTTCTTTTTAAAAATCTAGGACGTTTCATACAAAACTATGTTAAAAGACTAGGGTTGAAAAGTTTTTCACTCAAAGCTACAGAAGAGTGGAATAAAATACTCCATGCAAACTTAATGCAGTTCTTCTGCATATGTATTATAATTATGTTATCGTTTGTTGTTGGCATTCCACCTGACTTGCAGCATGTAGGCTTCATTTATGGTGTAGAATGGACAGTCCTCTTCCACTTCTTAATTTTCCCCCTATATTCTTCCCATCTTTGACATATCATGCTGCACTCAGTGGCCAATAAACAGACCAGAAAGGCACGATGCAAGAAGAAAGTAGAATAAAGACCATTTGTGTTAGAGGCAGTGGCAGAATTAGGTATTTTGTGGATATCGCTTAAACAATTGCTCTTTTCAAAAGGTTTGTATTCAAAAGAATGAAGAAGGTAAGTCTTTCTGGCTACCAGAGCAGAGTTTAGGTCTGTTTCTTGGATGACAGTTCTCTTTTTGATAATTGTGTATAACTTGTATATTTTGCATTACAGAATTTGAACCAACTAGCTCTTCAACTGGTGTACAGTGACATGACTCCATTGAAATTGGTTCAGCCATGCTTGTTTATATCAGTTGAGGACCTGGACAGACATTTTATCAAAACAAAAGACAAAGATGCATATCAGATAATTACTTCTTAAAGCCATATCCTCATAGTATGATGCATTTTCAATGAAGCTTTTCTTTTTTCTTCCTTAGGATAAGAAGGATAAGGTGTCTAGATTTGATACTATTCGTCACTCCATAGCTGGGATTATAAGATCTCCAAAATCCATGTTGGGCTCTTCTTCGGTAAGTAACACTGAAAAAACAGTTTTCTGCTATGTTATCCTATCTTTTAAATTAGGATTCTTTCCCACATGGCCATAAACTTCTACCTAGCTGGAAAACACATTGAAATGGTAAGAGGAAATTCTGTGTTCTGACTAGTCGTAGACATGATAATATTGTGTCTCAGTATTGAGTCAGAGCTCCTGTTATACACTACACAAATATATAAATGTATCCAAGGGACGGTGCGTAAGCATGAAAAATTCATTTTCTGCAGGCATTCAATTATTATATGATTGACATCTCTATGGAATACTTGCTTTTCTTGGTGGATCTGCTGGTCTGATTTATTTTTTATAGAGCACCTCAACTCATTATGTTCCTCAGATACAATTAAAGTTATCTGACATATCAAGACTCTCTTGCCTTTAATAGATTGGTTATCAGGACATTTTTAGTATCAGGTTTCCAAGCGTGGCCTGTGGCTTCTGAAGCATTTGTAAGTGGCCTGCAAAGATATCTTTTTATGGTGTTTGTCCTCAGCATAACCTGATGACTGGTGAGGTTATAGTCATTGAGAGTTCAGTAACAATTTACAGGAAACCTTAGAGGCAACCCTGTGAACAATTAAGCATAACTGTTATTGTTTGTAATCAATTGCGTAAGCAGCTTCCCTTTTTCTTTCCCCCTTTCCCTGAAGGGATATTAATATGCTGAATGTTTTGAGAGATGCTGAATTATGAGCTAGCCCATCAGCAAGAAGTGATGTGCATAAGTCCTACTCAAGTTTGAATTAAGCAGCAATACTGAAGTTTCTGTATTTTAACTTTGTATATATAAGATGTTTTTAGAAGTGCACTGATAAATCAGTCCATATCATGTCGGCACTGATAAAAGGAAAATTGACATTATTGGCAGTTGCCTTTTTTTGGCTGATGTGGCCGATAATGTCGCCGGTAAATGCCGTGTGCATGCGCACAGCTAGGAGTGCAGCCCAGGAGCATGGGAAACAGCATCCTGCTGGTAAGTCTGCGGGGGGTGGGGGGAGGCATGGGCAGGGCAGATCAAGGCCCCCATGGTGAAGGAGAGAGTAGGGCTGGGGCAGGGGCAGGTACTGCCCAGCTGGGGAGAGACGGTGCAGAACTGAGCCAGCAGTTTGCCTGGTGGTGGGATGTGCGCTGCATGCATCCCCAGGGGAGGCATGTGGGGCATGTGCCTCCTGATCTGTGCATGAGGCAAAGGCAGGTTGCCTGTTGCGTACTCAGGGCCAGCACCAAAGTCTTTCTGGTGGCTGTGCTTGGGCAGGGTGGGTGGCGATGGCACTGGGAAGATGGTTACAGAGAATTTTGGGGTGGCTCTTCCCCCCCCCCGGCGTCCCTTTCCCAGTAGCACTGCCTGGCCTGCCCCACCCAGCCTGAGTGCAGCCACCGGGAATAGGAACTGCCAGCCTGCAAGGAGAAATGCATCATTTCCTGTGTTTTTCTCCTTTAAAGGAAAAAATTTGTGGTTTTTTTCATGACAAACAGAAAACCCAAGTCCATGGTAATTACAGAATGTTACTTCAAATAAAAATTTTGCCCAAGGTACCAGGTGGATTATGCAGCCATAGAGTATTTTATGGCATATAGCAAGATTTGTTTTACAATACAGGGTTATAATAATATTTGTTTTATAAAACCAGTGCAATATACCATTAAAAATAACTTTAAAAAATCTATTTAAGTAACAAATTATAGTCTGGAAGTGAAAAATAGAATGTGGAAGTGAAGTAGAAAAAAGAATAGTGCTGATTACAAGAGATTACTTCAATAAAAAATCATTTTAATTGTTCACCTTTGGAGTATAGTTTTTCAATATATTCAGAGTTGTGATGTATAAATATATCTTGGTTTAAGTGCTATCTTATTGTAAGAATGAAGATCCAAGTTAGTGCGAGATAAATATAGTTATTTCTATGGATAACTGAAGGAAACATTTTATTTTCTTTTAGTGCCTTCCGGAGAATGTATCAGAGGAACCTTGTACTTCCTCAAACACCCAGGAGTTTAGTAAAGCTCAGGTTAACTATTATGCATTTGTTAATTTTTAGATATCTTATTATTCTTACGGTCTTCATCCATATTGTTTGCCTGGCCGTAATGGACAAAGAAAGTAGACGGTAGAAGATTTAAAAAAATCACTTTCCTATGTTACCCAGACCAGAGCCAACATACATGAAGCTTTAGGATATTCTGGGTTGCTTTTGTGCCAGGACATGACTTTTTTTTTTTATCATTTCACCACTGATAATTTAGTGAATGAAAGTAAACTCTTTTCCATTGACTGTTGCTGGTCTTGGAAAAAAAATCAGGAAAGATACTAATATCCAGTATGATCTAGTTGTGCAATCCCCATCTGATTTGGTGCATTATTTTCTCCACTGATACACTGATGTAATGGGAATTGCTATTCATTCTGTTATCAACAGTTAAAAGAAATTATATTACTGAAGTGAGACTAGATCAGTATACATTGTCAGTATGGGTATACAGCAAAGGGACCAGAAAGCTGCCAAGTAGGCAGCTGACAATTTTCATGGCAAAGAGAAACTCTTGACTGGTTTAGAGATGGTATTAACATCTTATGCTGCCCTTTCCTAACACTGCTGTTTTGGCCTTGCAATACAGTGTTGAGGGGGTCATTTTAGTCTCTTGTAGATAATTTCATATTTCTGCAGATTTAGCCAATGGAAAAGGTTCTTGGAGACGCTCATAAGTTTGCACTTCAGAACAGCTTGAATGCTTCTCTAAACTGTGTAGGGACAGTTGAAAGTCAGGCCCAGTTTGAAGGAGCCATAAATCACCTTTTGGATGCTACTTCAACATTCAATCCTAGGTCTGCTTAGACTAGAGGGTCTTACATTTTCATGGTGTGGACTGCTGTCTATCCTATATAACTCCCTTCCTCTTCACAATAATATAGGCCATCTGTTCAGTTTGACCCCCTGAAAATCATGAATAATAAGTTTCTTCAGTATTGAGCAGGTAGTGGTTTCAGTAATAAGCAGAGATCATGGTTTTCTTTGTTGAAAAATCCCAAATTCTCTGATTTAAAAAATTCAAAATTAGCTGATTACATAATCCCAAATCCATGTTTTTCCATGATTAAAATAAAAGTGTGTGGGTGTCTGTGTATTAGGGCTGTGCAAAGCTTTGGGTGCTAATTCGATTCAGAGGAGATTCAACCCAATTTGTTGGCCGACTCTCCAAATCCAAACTGAATCAGGGGACCCATAAAAAGATCTGAATTGATTCGAAGCTCTCGAAGCAGGGAGCTGGAGCTGGACTCGGAGCTGGTAAGTAGGGGGTGGGGGGAGAGGAGGCTGGAAGAGGTGGGGATAGGACCATGGGGGGACCCCTACTAGGACACATCCCCTGCCTGCTCCCTCAGCTGCCCGCCCAAGCTCCTGGTGCTTTAAAAGAAAACCCCCACTCACTGGGTGCTGCCCGGCAGGGGAGTGATCCCTGCCGCCCTCCACTGCCCCACGCTGCATGGGGGGTTCTGCGACAAACCCCTCTGACCTGCTCCAGCTCCAGCCCTTTAAGAAAAAAAACAACCCTAACTGTCCCCTCCCCACCCAGCTCACTGGCTCCTGCAGTGGCCTTGTGGCTTTGGGGGTCTCATGGAAGAGCCCCCCATGTGGCACGGAGCAGTGGGAGGCAGCAGGGATCTCCCCCAACTAGGCAGGAACTGGTGAGTGCTGTTTTTTTGTTTTTGTTTTTCTTTCCTTTAAAGGGCCGGGAGCAGGGGGTGGGGAGGGGC